CGAGCAGATCACCGCCCGTTGATCAACTGATCAAGCCCTGCCACGATAACCCGACATCACAGTGCCACATGGCAACAGCATGGCCGACAGGACGCCTGCACGCCATGCACTACACCAGGCACACCATGCACAGCCATCGCAGCAGTGGTTCCCAGCATCAACAACACACGCAGTGATGCCCTTGACACCCAGCAGCCCCTCAGCCTCCACCAGTCACCCCGGCAGCGAGGCTGCACCCCTTGCCGGCTTTGCGTCCACCGCCTGCCCTTCGCAGCAACGACAGCAGCAAAGGCAGCCAGCAGTTGTGCTGCAGGCAGTGGCTTCTGACATGCAGCCGTTTTGTCCGCAGACAGATGCAGACGCTGGGCGCCCCTTGTCAGACACAGCTCTTGTCGGACATCGTGATGTCAGCACCGCACCACCAGTGAGGCAGCCACCGCAGACATACGTACAGCACTGGCAACAGCAACGGCAGCAACACTGGCAGCCGCACCACGAGCAGCAGCAACACCTGGCCCTCAAGCTCTCGCCCGGCACGTGCCCTGCTCCCCGCGGGCTCACGCACGAACGCGTGGTGCAGGAGCTCGTCTGGCGGCTGCATGCACTCTCTCACAGCACCCACACACGCACAGGCGACCACGCACCACACCAGCCCTGTGAGCCGGAGCACTGTGCTGCTTGCGCGCGATTGGTACAGAAAATGACCGGCGTCTCAACAGATGACCAGTATGAGAAAAAGGAGAAAAGGCATTCATCCCACGCCGCGCGCCGAAGTGCTAGCGCAGGTGAGCAGGGAGGGGGGGGCAAGAGTGAGAGATGTGGTGTTGCATCGGTCGTTGCTTCGCCCCTTATCCCTGGCCTTTGTTTTCTGCTTTGTTATGTTCTTGCTCCTCGGTGAAGTGCATAAGCACCTGCTGGCGTGTGGATTTTGGACTCATTTCATACAACTTGTGCCTGGAGCGTCCTGTTCACCTACGCAGCCATCTGCACGTGTTGTGTTGTGTGTGTGTGTGTGTGTGTCTGTGTGTGTGTGTGTGTGTGCGTGTGCGTGTGCGGGTACTTCGTTGGATAACATCACCCACAGCTCTTGCTCTCTGTGATCAGGCCGCTCACACGTGATCTCCCTGCCATGAACCTATCCGCGTTGCTCCCCTTGCCGCTTGCCCCCTTTTTTTTTTTTTTTTTTTTGAATTCATATGACCGGAACAGACACATCTGCACCTGGCCGGGGATCTCAGCGCGCCACCTCGCCGATTGAGCGTCGCAGGACCACCCTTCTCCAGCGGCTACGACGGAGGGTGCTTGGCTCACGACCATCACTCTCTGCCTCGTCACACTCCACCTCATCCCACACCGCCACATCGGACCCCATCACAAACCACACAACTGAGAGCGGTCGCCCAGGTTCCCGCGGCAGCATGGGAAGGCACGTCAGCGCAGTGGCTGGGCACGCAGATGCGCGTGATCGCCAGGCCACAGCGCGCGATGGGTCCAGCATAGCGCCCTATCAATCCACCATCGACTACAGGGCCACGCAGTATCCAAAACCATCATCTCAGCAGCGCGATGGCGACAGCGGTCACCACCACCGTCATCACCAGCACGGGGACCAGCATAGGGCCTCCACAGTTGGCAGGTCGTTGCATGGGATGGACGACTATGTTCCCTCGGGCCTGCTCCAAGGCCACGCCCTGTTTTCGTCGACTCATTCGAGCCTCCCACCAGTACAACCAGCGACGATACCTCAGCCGACACACGTACAGGGTGCACTCCATTCCCCACTTGGCGAAGCTGATGCATGTCGCCAACGGGAGCAGATGATACAGCAGCTGTGGGTCCGGACACAACAACAACAACACCACCAACAACAACACCAACACCAACACCACCACCACCAACAACAACAACAACAACAACGACAACAACACCACCACCACCACCAACAACAACAACAACAACAACAACATTCGCTTGGCTCTCCTCCTTCCCATTCTTCTGACGTGCCGCCCATGATCATCGATCACCGACAACAGATCTCAATATCTGCTGTCTTGACCAGCGCTGCTCCTGTACTCGAGCGCACAGCTGCAACATGCGATGTGGAGTTCCATCTCGCGCCAGGCCACCCTCCCCTCTACGGCATGTCGGCGGTCCTGTGCCACCAGAGCCGCGTGCTTGCAGCCATGATTGATGCGGCCCTCCCAGTGTCACACTCGACAGCAGCATTAGCAAGCAACGTGACGGCGCCGCTGCCTCCCACGCCTGCGGCCACTTTACCAAGCCGCCGGGCCGTTCGTATCGACAAGTGGAGCCCCTCCGTGTTTGACGCCTTCCTTGCTTACATGCACACGGGTCGTGTGGCGGTCAGCAGCACGGACATGCTTCCGCAGCTTGCGGCGTGTGCTGGCGCATTTAACGTTCCGCGTCTCGCTGCACACTGCCAGCAGCTCATGCCCTCTGGCATGTCGACACCACGCAACCCGAGCAGCAAAGGCATCTCCCGCATCCCAGGAGCGAGCACCAGTGCACCGCGGACGGCGTCGCCGTCATTGTCCACATACACGCGGCTTTCTGACATGTCGCAGTCGCGAACGTACGACTCATCTACAGTCTAGCTCCTTCGTGACCGGCACGAGGCCCTTGGGCAACCTTTGTTTGCCCACAAGCACAGTATGCTTGCGCGCAAGGAAAAAGCGTGCCCTTTTGTCTAAGCACACGACTCTGTGTTGCTCTTGGTGTGATGCTGTTGGTTTGGGAGTCGACAGTTTCTTTACATGTGATTCATGTGTATGGGCATCGAACACGGGCACTCTGGTACTGTGCGAGGGCGCTGATGCGTGCTTGTTTGTTTTGTTCTGTTTTGCCAGTGTGTGTGTGTGCATGCAATTGTGGAGCACTCCTCCTTGTCTATGTTTCTTGGGCATTGGGCAGAGTGCTTGACTGCACGTAGGCCCTGGCCTGTCGCCGTGCTCTGCGTTGTTGCTCTGCACGGGCGCGCCACTCGTCTTTCCTGTTTCCTGTTCTTGTTCCTTGTCCCACCTTTTTTTCTTCTTGTCCGCGTCTGTGACCTGTCCTGCACTCTCTTCTCGTGCCTGGTCTGTCTGGACCAAGATGCTAAGATGGCTAGCTCGTTTGCTTTGTTTTACCCATGTTTTCTAGCTGCTGTCCCTTTGATAAGTACACACGACCAACGCAGCCACAACAAAGACACCATCCAACCACACATGCCACACAGCAGCACCATCAAAGTCAACACATGGATGATGCCCATCCGTTTGTTTCCACCGTCCGTGTTCACGACAGATATTCAAAGCAGTCTCCGCCTATTTGCCCCCCCCCTTCCGCATTCCCATCTCCTTGTAGTTCTTACCCTCAGGGGCCAACCGTTACAGCCAGGCGCCCCATTTACTCAAACACACGCTCCACCAACCACACCCTTAAACAATCTCCCCCCCCCCCTCCCGAGTGCAGCAGCACGGGCATTGTTGACAGGTTCATGCACAGCCTTGTTCACTCGATACTCTTATATTCTTTTCATCATCAAATGCTCGCTCAGCTATTCAAAAGACACGAATACACACACGCACACACGCGCATCAGGCATATGTCCGAGTGCACCAGCAAAGGCAGCATCAGCCTTGCATGCACACGTCCAAGGCTGGTCAAATATGCCAACCCCAAGTTCAGCCAACATACGTGCACGCACATTGGACACATGCACATTGCACACACACACACACACACACACACACACACACACACACACACACACACACACACACACACACACACACACACACACACACACACACACGCACGCACACACACATGCACGCACGCACGCACACACACACACATGCACGCACGCACGCACGCATACACAATGTCTGTCTCGCTCCGCCCAGCGCGTCAAGCGATTAGCAGCTGGAGGTTGCAACAATTAGAACTTCTTCGGATCGATGCGGAATGGCGTAGATGCGGTCGTTTGCAGCCAACACGCCGTTAAACCACTTTTCCCCGCCCGCTGGAAGACCCGCCAAAGTACTGACGTCGGTCGTGTTGGTGCTTGGATCGATGAGAAGGACGCCGGATGCACGGCTCGGAAAAGCGACGATGACCCCGTTTGTGGCGAGAGCACCGCCACGCCACTTGTATGTGTCTGACGGCAGACCGGCGAGGGTAGTTGTGTCGGCTGTGTTCGTGGTGGGATCCACAATAAGTGCGGCGTCCGCGCTAAACGGGATGCCATACAGGAGGCCGTTGCCTGCAAGCACGGTTCCTTGCCATTTATTTCCGCCGTTGGGGAATCCGCTAATGGTGGACACATCCGCGGAGTTGTTGGAAGGGTCAATGATCAGCACAGCCTGGGCATTGCGCGGCATGGAGTAGATGAGGCCGTTTCCGGCGATGGCGGCACCGTACCACTTGCTGCCGCTGGTGTCCAGATCGGAGATTGTGCTTGTGTCCGTCGTGTTTGTGCTGGGGTTGATGATGAGAACCGAGGTGGAGTCCCATGGAATGCCATAGATGAGACCATTGTCGGCGAGGATGCCACTGAGCCACTTGCTGCCGCCAAAAGGCAGGCCGGTGATGGTGTCGCTGTTGGCGGTATTGGTCATGGGATCGATTATGAGGACGGCCGTTTCATCCGCGGAAACGCGTAAATCTTGCCCGAGGTTGGAAGCAGGACGCCGCCCGCCCACTTGTATCCGCTATTACTGAGGCCGGCGATGGAGGTGGTGTCGGCGGTGTTGGTGGAAGGGTCGATGATGAGCACGGCGGACGCCTTGTGCGGGATACCGTAGATCAACCCATTGTTTGCCAGAACGCCGCCAGCCCATTTGAGGTCCTCTGAACCCAGGCTGTCTATGGTTGTGGTGTCGAGCAGAGGGGAGCATACCCTGGCTTGAAGGGCGCTGATGGTTTTCTGCTGCGCCTGGTTGATGCGGTGCTGCGCCTCCAGCACGCGTTGCTGTTGCAGCACCGTGTCATACAAAGTTCTTGTGCTGATGCCGTTGATGAACACGTGCTGGTGCGCAGGGTCACTCGTGTTGATGTGCAGCGCGCCAGTTGCCTTGTCTTCCACAAGCACCGCTCTGCCCCAGCACAAGCAGGGCGCGTGTTGCACCCCTGCCAAGAACCCAAAGACAGCCAGCAGGAACACGAGGCACGTCCGTGCCAGGGGGTGAGGCTGCGGTCTTGTTGGCATTGTTCGTTGTCGCGTGTGTGGTTCAATTTGTGGTGTCTTGAAGCACGGATTTGCGTTGTCGCTCCACCACTTGTCTCCGTCCGTTTGTCTTGTTGTGCATTTGGAACAAGCCTCAAACGCAAGCACTCGTGCCACAACCAATTTGCCTTGCATTTCCTTTGTGTACTTAAAAGGGGCTCCACTGCGCAGGTAATCAGGGGTGGAAGAAGCTCAAAGGCTAGGACAAACGGGTGATGCAGAGAACAGCCTGGCAGAGAGAGCAACTCGAAAACAGGGCAGAAGATGACCCGTCACCAAGGACTAGAAAGAAAAAAAAAGGGGGGGGGGGGGAAAGAAAGGAGGATGAATACTTGAATTGAATAAGTGCGCATGGAAGAAGGAGGGAAGGATGGGATGGTAGTAGACACGGGAGTGGAGTGCTGAGGACCAAGGACAGAAGGGGGTAAAAGTGTGTTGAGGACCAGGACAGGAGAGCGGAGGGGGAAGAAGCGCCTCTCTGGGTGCCCTGCGAGAGAAGGACGCAAAGGAGACACGTACGTGGATGCTGGGTACTTCTCACGCTTGCAGGAAGGCACAATCAGAGAGGTGAAGGAGGCGAAAGAAGAGGATGACAGTGCGCCAGTGGTTTTGAGGAGAGTGTTATGGCCGAGGGGCAAGTTTGAAAAGAGGGACGCGAAATATAAATGAGCTAGAATGATCGGCTTCCTTCAAAGAGGGCTATCAGAATGGTGCAATTAACCGTCAAGCATTGTAAGAGCAGATAAAACAAAGAGTGTGTGTAAGGGTGTGTGTGTGTGTGAGGCGGGGGGGGGGGACTGTATGTGTGCGTGCGAGAGAGAGAGAGAGAGAGAGAGAGAGAGAGAGAGAGAGAGAGAGAGAGAGAGAGTGTGTGTGTGTGTGTGTGTGTGTGTGTGTGTGTGTGTGTGTGTGTGTGAGTGTTTCTGTGGTAAGGCCAGACAAGTGGAGGTAAAACACAAGAGCTCAACGCCTGGCGCTCTGGTAGCTTGAGACGAGAGAATGACACCAGCAGGCTGGTGAAGGAAAGAAGGAAGGAAGGAATGAAGGAAGGAAGGAAGGAAGGAAGGAAGGAAGGAAGGAAGGAAGGAAGGAAGGAAGGAAGGAAGGAAGGAAGGAAGGAGGTCAGCAGTAACAAAAGCTGACGACCAGAACGGATGGGCTGAGGCAACGTCTGCACATGACCACCGACTGCGTGTCGTCGCATTGGCGTTGTCGCTGCGGCGCTTGTCGTGTGCTCGTCGCCATGGCGCCTTCACCGTGACGAGCATCAAGAAGCCGGTGGAGTACCCCACCACACCACTGAGTTACGCCGGCGGGGCGTCGTTGCTGCTTCCAATGCTGCTAGTGTACGTGGCAGGATTGAATGGGTGGGGCAGCGGCGTGGGTGCGCCTGTTGGTGGCACGTGTGCAGCCGAACCCATGCTTGGTGGCATATTAGAAAAGGCCTGGCTCTGGGAACCCATGCCCATGCCCGTGCCCGTGCCCGGCGCGGGGCTGGGCTGGTGTGGAGCTCGCCACCACGCACCCGCGGCCAACGCTAGCGCCGCTGGCGCCGCTGCGATGCTCGAAGGCCAGAGCGCCGAGAGTGGAGGCTGTTGGTGCAGCAGAAATGTTTGTTGCTGCTGCTGCTGATGATGAGGATGAGGATACTGCTGATGCATCGGTGGCACAAGCGGAGGCATGGGCTGCATGGGCTGCATGTGCTGCTGTTGCGGCGGTGCCCAACCAGGAACCTGCCACGGCACAATTGAGGACGGATACTGTGTATGGCCGTTTGGAAAAGAGAGTAGCTGTTGCTGAGGCTGCACCTGCGACGGCGGCTGTTGTTGTTGTTGTTGCTGTGGTTGTTGTTGTTGTGATGCGGGCTGCATGCTTGCGCTGGTGAGCGGCGCGCACATTGCGAATGGCTGCAAGTATGATTGGTGGGCTCTAATCACGGTGGACGGTGGCGCGCAGGGGAGCTGCGCTTGCAGCGGCACGGCGAAGGCGCGGCTCTGATGGCCAGCAGGGGTCACGGCACTGCTTGTAGGCGAAGAAGAAGGGTTGAGCGAGGCAGGGTGGCCGCGGGTAGGTGACGAGCCTGCTGCGCAGGCGTGGCCGTTGCGATGAAGCAGATGCACTGCTTTCGCTGATTTTGCTGTCTGCCGGTCAGCCCCAATGCCCGCAAGTGGGGATGTTGCAGACGGGAAACCCATCGCGCTCGAACCCCGTGTCAAGGTGACGCCATCCCCACCCTCATCACCGGTGTCGTCGTCGTCGTCGTCGCCGTCGTCGCCGTCATCGCTCCCGGGCGAGGACGAATCATCAGCAGACCCCGTGTCGAGGTTGGCTGCGGCATCAGCGGCAGCGAGCACGCGTGCAAGCCTGTGCTGCCCAGTGCCTTCCATACCCTTTGGCACCAGTGCGTCATCCTCATTGTCACTGTTGTCGTCGTCGTCGATGTTGTCAACTTCGCTTCTGCTTGCGGTTGCGGTGGTTGGTTGTTGTTGTTGTTGTGATGTGTGCTCAGGCACCGCTTGTTGCTGTTGGTGGTGGTCACGGTGTTGCTTGCCTGGAGCCTGTTTGAGGCGTTGGACAAGGGGAAGGAGGGTGGCAGCGCTGTCGGTGACCTGCAGCATCAGGTCGCGTAGCTGTCGGGACACGGCCTTGGCTCGTCGCCTGAGCTGCAAGTTACGCGCTCGCGTGCGCTGCAGCTCCACGTACCACGCCCGTGTTCGTTTATGGACTTCCTCGCGATATCGCTTTGCTGCGCTTCGGTTCACTTGTCTGATTTCCGCTCGCACGCGCGGCGAAAGGGCTTCCTGTTGTTGGCGGTAGCGTTCTCGTCGCTGCTTATTTCTGCGCCACCTCCGATTCATCTCGCGCTGGTCTTGCTGTGGTTGTAGTTGTTGTAGTTGTTGTAGTTGTTGTTGTTGTCGTCGTCGTCGTCGTCGTTGGTGTCGTTGCTGCTGCTGCTGCTGCTGCTGCTGCTGCTGCTGCTGCTGCTGCTGCTGCTGCTGCTGCTGTGTCTGTTGTTGTTGTTGTTGTTGTTGTTGTTGTTGTTGTTGTTGTTGTTGTTGTTGTTGTTGTTGCTGCTGCTGCTGTTGTTGTTGTTTCGTCTTCTTCCTGTGCTTCTGCGGTTGTTGTTGTTGTTGTTGTTGTTGTTGTTGTTGTTTCGTGTCTGCTTGTACGGGTGATGCGCACGAGACGCCATCGCTTGCGCTCATTGTCCCATGAGAGGAAGACATGCTGCCTGTTTTCGTGTGTCCCGGGTGAGAGATTGGGAGGCTGGGAGGAGGGAGTCAGGAAAGCTGGGAAGGTCTACAGATGAATGAAAGGAGTAGCTCGATCGTCCGTTTGCTCTGCCTGCAAGCAAGGGAGAAGACGGCGGTTGGCAGATCTAGTTTGCTTGTAGGAGTAGTCTTCGAGTGCGGGTGTGTGGAGGGTTGAAAAGTATCTGCGGGGAACGGGGGGGGGGGGGAGAGAATAAAATCAAGCGCAAAGGCCAAGTGCAGGGCTGCATGAGCAGTATGCACACAGAGAGGGAGCCACGTGCGTGGTTGTTGGTTGTGTGGTTGCTGGTTGTGTGGTTGAGCGGGTGTGTCTCTGCTCGCTTCTTATTCGTTTTGTTTGTTGTTGTAAGTGTGTGCATGGATGTGTGCATGTCTCTATATGTGTGTGTATGCGTGTCTGGATGCGCGTTTTTGTGCGTGTGTTTGCGTTTCTGTGTGTGTATGCGCGTTTGTGTATGCTGTTGATGGCCACGAGCAGAGCACAGTGAGGATGTATTGAAGCAGAGTACTGATCATACCGTACCCTTGCACCACCGAATCACAGCAGCCCAACGCCATCACATGCCACATGCAAGGGCTGCAAGACCACAAGCACCCCAGAACCCAAGCAAACTTCCTCTTGACTTACTGGGGGCAGGGGCTGGGTGGAAGCCTTGGCGACCAGGAAACAAACCCGCTCGACCAGCTGTGGACTGGAGTGGCGCCAGTGCTGACAAAGAACAAGCTGAGAACATGGGGTTCGGTTGAGGTGGGCGGGTGGAATCGCCAGCAGCCACAGTTGCATTGAGGGTGAAGGGGTGAGATGGTCATGCACATCAAAGAAGGAGGAAGGGCAGCAGCGGAATCAAGGTTGGTAAGTGAACTGCATGCGCACCCCACCCTCATAGCCGTTCCCATTCCCACCCCACCATTCCCCAGACTGCCCAATTGCTGGCACATGGGGATGATGCTAACCTAGCAAATGCTTGCGTGGATTGCTTGCGTGGATTGCTTGCGCTTGAGCTTTGCTGCTGCTGCGCCACCGACGAAAGACAGACCGCTGGCTGCACCTGCTTGCTTGACTTGGCCTTGTCCTTGCTGTTTCTGCTGTTTCTGCTGCTGACGCTCTTTGCCCTTGAGCCCGTCCCGTGCTCTTGGGTGTCTCCACGCACACACAACCGCTGGGAGTGCCCACCGTTCTACCGTTGGTGCCGCTTGCTGGTCCGTCTTGCGCGGTTTTGTCTTACTTTGAACCGAGATACTTGCATCAAGCCCTCAAGTGGCGAGCACCGATCACGCAATCGATGCAAGTGACACGCAGCCACAAAAGCAAGACGAGGGGGAAAAGCTGCAACCAAGGTCGCACGGACGCAGTGCTGAAGCAACAAGAGGTGCTGCAACGGGGTGTGGCGTTGTGCTGTGCTGCGTGTTTTGGGTTGATTGACCGACATGACATTGTTGTGACAGACGCAGAAGCAAGCAACCGAGTGAAGCAACTGAGGGAAGCGGGGTTTTGTGCTTGCATGCAAAACACAGCACACGCCACTATTCGCGTGTTTCGATTGCGTATGCACGATGGTTTCCGAGGAGTTTCGCCACCTCATGTTTTCGACTGAATTCAGACAACGCGTGTGTATTGTGTGTATTGTGTGTGTGTGTGTGTGTGTGTGGTTGTTTGTGTGTGTGTGTGTGTGTGTGTGTGTGTGTGTGTGTGTGTGTGTGTGTGTGTGTGTGTGTGTGTGTGTGTGTGTGTGGTTGTTGTTTGTCGATGTTGCTGTTGGATGCAGTTCAGATGACTCCAGCCATGCACAACATAACAACACTCCCCCAACACACACATGTGATCAAAATCGGTTCGGGTGTGGTGTCTTGGCGCGGTGTGTACTGACGCGACAACTGCGGTGCCATGCAATGGTGCAAAGGGATCCTTGACGAACCAACACTCAGCTCAGAACATGCAAGCAAGGGAACGCAGCAGGCAGCACCGCGCACGCAGTACACACGTTGCGCACGCAAAGACAGCGGTTCAAATGCAACCAGCGGCTTTAGAAGGTCTTCTTCTTCCTGAAGCTGCAGCCTGCAATGAGGGGGAGGGGGAAAATGTGCGTGTATGTATGTGTGTATGTATGTATGTATGTATGTATGTATGTATGTATGTATGTATGTATGTATGTATGTATGTATGTATGTATGTATGTATGTATGTGTGTATGTATGTATGTATGTATGTATGTATGGATGGATGGATGGATGGATGTATGTATGGATGTATGTATGTGTGCGGCAAGGAGGGAAGGAGGGGGTGACAACGTGAGGACAGCGAGTGGATGTTGGCCGAAAAACGAACACCAGAGACAATATTGACGAAGGCGTGCGGATAGACCCGCGATCAGAGTACACAACGGCAAGAAGTAGAAAGAGGGGACGGCATGACTCTGCAATCAGAGGAGTGAGCGCAGCAGCAACGACAACGACGACAACGACAAGGACAAGGACAAAGACGACGACGACGACAACAACAACAACAACAACAACAACAACAACAACAACAACTCAAACAACAACAACAACAAGAACTTACAACAACAACAACAACAACAACAACAACAACAACAACAACAACAAGAACTTACAAACAACACCAACACTAACAACAACAACAACAACAACAACAACAGCTGCTACAATTCATTTCACTCTCTCCCACTCCTCTATAGCTCTTTTCTGCAAGCATCATCGTACCCTCTGTGAGGCGGGCCTTGCCACCAGTTGGCTGGCACAGGATCTGAGTGCAGTTGCTGCAGACCACGACGGTGGAGGCGTGCGAGAAGACGGTGGAGATGAAGGCGCAGCCAGGGCAGCGGACGTCCATGAAGTAAGAGTCCGGCGACTGAACCAGGCGCTTCAGCTTGTGCTTTGTCGCCTCCCGCTCGGGGCGAGGGTTCAGGAGATCGATGGCAAGCTGGTGCGTACATGCGTGTACGCATGGTGCGTGTGTGTTGGTGTGTTGGTGTTGGTTAGCGTGAGCGAGCGCGCGCGAGGATGACAGCGCAGGCAGAAAGAGACCAAGGTTTAAGAACAAAACAGACGACAACAAGAAAGGAAGCAAGGAGTTTCGCACAGAAATGGACGCACACACACACACACACAGAGATAGAGAGGAGGAGGCATTGTGGGGGAGGGGGCGGGGAGAGGCAGAGACATGTACACACAGACACAGACAAAGACACAGACACAGATACAGACAAGCATGTACGCACGGAAACACACACACACACACACAGACACACACATACAGACACAGACATACAGACACAGACAGACACACAGACACACAGGCAGACAGACACACAGGCAGACACACAGGCAGACACAGACACAGACGGACGCAGACAGACACACATACGACTCACAGGCATGGTGGCGGTGGTGGGTGGACGCGAGGGTTCCTCGTGGTGGTTGCCTTCGACAAAACCTTGGTTGTGGGGAAAAGGCACAAGATATGCCAGATTTTCCAAATTATGGTTTCACACAATTTTAATTTGATGCACTAATATGGCAAGCCAGCAAGCCAGCAACAACACACTGCGATGGCCTGACAGGCTAGAAGAGCAGGGGCACTGCTCGACTGCTCTGCTGTGGCACACTCTAAAACCTAGGCACTACACGTGTAACAAGCACAAGTGGAATCGAAGCAACAACAGCATTCTCAGTTGGAAGCGACCGTCTGTTGAGACATGGTGATGCTTGAGCCAGGCAGACACTCGCACATGGCCTGCCATGTGAAGAAGAACGTGCAGTACAATGCAACAACGAGTGGGTGTTGGGGTCGCGTGAGAACGTCTGCATTGCCAAGCCGAAGCAAGCAACCCCTTCAGGTGCACTGAAACACAGACACAAACAAACGAACAAACAAACTAGCGAATGAACACACACACACACACACACACACACACACACACACACAACAC